AATCTTGGGTGCATCCTAGAAGTGCTCGAGGCCTAAACAAACCGTGTGATGGGGAGTTCAAGTGAAACTATCCACGATATCAATGGATGTATCAAGTGGAGAGATCTATTGTAGGTAAGGAGAGTCTAATCATGGTGTTGGTTGAGTTGTAAAACTCGAGTAGTTGTAGATTAATTGTGGGATAATGGATTAGGCACTAGTGAACCTAAGTGGTTCCTCACGATTTTTCCCAAGAAGGGTTTTTGAGTCAACAAATCTCATGTGTATGTATTTTTTACTGTACACACTAGTGATTTGTAGCATACACGCGCACTATTTGTTTGATGTTGTGATTGGTTGATTTATCATTACAATCAAAGTGGTTTGGTAGTGGGCTAATTGCCTTGTGTTGGATCGTCGTGAGAGATTAAGTGATAATTGGTAAAATTGGCAAATTCATTAAACCAATCTTCATGAGTTTCATGGGTTGTTCTTGTTAAAAGAGCTCGCAATTGTTAGTTGATTAACTGATCTTTGATAAAGAGTTAATTGCAGTAGATTAGGTAATAACTTGGTGCTTGTTTGATCAAAATTAATATTAACCTATTCACCCCCTCAATTTGTTGACCAATGAGAATTGTCTTCTAAGATTTATAACTCATGATGGGCCTGACCCAGACCAGACCCAGAATTACAGACCAGACCTAGAATTATAGACTAAGCCTAGAATTATAGACCAAACGTAGCTTAGAGGCCCAGTTGAAGAATGCAGGCCAGGCCCACCATAGGAGGGAGGAAGCTAGGTTAGGTCAGCCACACCATTTTGAGAGAGTCAGGTCAGTTGCGTCGTGGTGAGAGACTCAATCCACGACTAACATGTGAAGAGATCTCCTTGGCATGCACATGTCACCACCTCCACTGAATTGTCTTGTCTGTTATGAGAAGGGCACCACCTCCACTGAACTACCTCACATGATACACAAAAGACGTCTCAATCTGTTAGGAGGCTCCTATAAATTGTAAGCCCCACTTACACAAGGGGGAATCTCTCACATATCACTCACATCTAAGCATTCTACATCCCTTGAACAATAAAAAACTCAGGTCATCCTAGTTCTTCATAGTGTAGTAGGTCACCCTGACAGAATCACTTAATTTTTTTTTTGCTTGTGTTGACTCTCATAATTTAATACTGTATTAAATACTTGATAAGTGGTGCATAAACATATTTAGTGCATCATTATTTTGGTGCTATCTATGGGAAATAACTAAGTTTTTTTTACTATCTTTCAATTTCATCCTACTTTTTTTCCATTTTATGGCTATTACACCTAGGTCCATGAATCAAAAATGGAAGACAATGATCCACCATGATGGGATGAGGTCCCGCCCCTGCCAGAAAACCTTGTCACTACTAAAAATCCCATACCCGAACAATAACTACTAGAGACAATGCAACAGTTGGTGAACCAAAACTAGCAGATCTTCCAATTGATGCTCGCCAAACAACAACTACAAGAAGTCGTGCAGCATCCCCTAGAAGGGGAAGCACCCCAAGAAATCTGCCTAGGGCACCAAGGTAGCCCCCAGCAAGGCTTCAGGGCATCCCTCTCCTCAGTGCCCAGACGCCCTAGCTCCCCCTCTTAATGTGTTAGCTCCGTCCTCCTAGGCAAGAAAATGAGGGGGAAAACTATTGTGTGGACCACGAAAGCCACTACAATGACCCTTCGGAGGGCATCCCTAATCAATGGGATGAAAAAATTAAAAAGGTGCAGAATCAGTTAGATGACGTCTTCAACACTATCGCACGAGCGCCGAAAATAGTCGATGGCCTTGTAAGGCGCACCAAGACTCCATTCGTGGCTAATGTAGCCAATTACCCCCTTCCCCTCAAAATTTAAGATGCCAATTGTGGAGGTTTTTGATAGCTCAAAAGATCCATTGGACCACCTTGACACTTATAAATCCCTCATGTAGCTGCATAACATAGCAGATGAAATAATGTGCAAAGCCTTTCCTACCACCGTCATGGGATCTGCATGCTAGTAGTTCGCCAAACTCAAACTAGCTTCCATTAATTCTTTTGTTGAACTAAGCAAATCATTTGTCTCCCACTTCATATGGGGACACTGACATCAGAAGCTTGTTACCCACTTGCTCAACATGAAGTAAAATCGGGACGAAGGCCTAAGGAGTTACCTCACTCGGTTCAACGAGTAGGCACTCCAGATCGAAAACCAGATAACAAAGTCACCATAGCTACCTTTATCACAGGCCTGCGTTCATCTAGTTTTATGTTCTCGGTCTTGAAGAAATCGCCAAAGAGCATGTTAGAATTACTGTCAAAGGCCCAAAAATATATAAACGCTGAGGACATCACCAAGGCCTAACAAGGTGAGTCCTCTTATGGAGGGGAGAAGAGGAACGAGCCCTATGAAGATAGGAGAGAAATAGATAAATAAGAGGAGGAGGACAGAGAGTGTTAGCTAAGGACAGGCTTAGCCTTGCACCTCAAAGAGAGCGACAAGCCTTCACACCGTTCAATGCTTAAGTTGAGCATATTTTGCTCCAAATTAAGGATGGCCCTACGGTACACTGGCTGGGAAAAATGAAGTCTACCCTAAATCATAGGAATTCGAACAAATATTATCGCTTCCACCGCGATCATGGCTATGACACTAACGACTGATTTGAACTCAAGAGGCAGATTGAGGACCTCATATAGCATGTCTAGTTATGGCAATATGTGGTAGGTAGAGGCCATGCCCCACCACCAGGTCGCAACCAAGTTGAGAGAGAGCACCAACAGCCCTTAGGACAAATCCAAACGATCTTCGAAGGGCTAGGAGTAAGAGGTGACTCCAACTAAGCCAAAAAGAAAGCTAGGCACAAGGATAACCTACGCTTGTTGAAGTCTCACAGGAAGGGAATTAACGAGGTCATCTCCTTCTCAAATAAAGACTTGGAGGGGATCCAACACCCCGGTGAAGACCCCCTAGTACTAACTATGATGGTAGCCAACTACCAAGTAAGGAGGATCCTTGTGGACAGTGGTAGCTCCCCCGACATCCTATTCACAGAGGCATACGATAACCTTCATCTTGGCAGGGAAAGACTTCAACCTATTAGGACATCTCTCTTCGGTTTTTTAGGAGAAAATGCATAGTCCTTGAGTTCCATCACTCTACTAGTTACCGCAGGTACAACACCAATAAGCTCTAACATAATGGTGAATTTCTTAGTGTTGGACTCCCCGTCTGCCTACAACATTATCTTAGGGCAGCCTGCACTAAACACCCTAAGGGGGGTGCTATCCACATATCACCTCATTCTCCGTTTTTCAACCCCAAGCAAAATTCAAGGAGATTAGGTTGTTACCAGGGAGTGATATGTTGCCTCCATGAGGGCTAGAAAGCCTTTAAAAGGCCTTATAAGTGGAAATGCTTAGCCCTAGGGATGACAGTATAGTGGAGAGAAGAGAGCCAGTACAGGAGCTCGAAGCAATAATCCTCGACAAAAGTTTTTTGGACAGGAGAATCTACATTGGTTCCTTACTTCTTGAACATCGAGGTCAGTCGATAGTTAGTTGATTTTCTCAAGAAAAACATTAATGTATTTACCTAGTTTCACAAAGACCTTGAAGGCATTGATCCTGAAGTCGCCACCTATTGGCTTAACTTCGATCCCCGGCACAAACCCGTCCGCGAAAAGTTGAGAAGTGTCACTACTGAAAGGGCGTAAGCCATGGAGAAAGAAGTGGGAAAACTATTAGCAAATGGGTCAGTGAGAGAGGTGGCTTACCCAGTCTGGCTATCCAATGTTGTGATAGTGACGAAGACTAGTGGAGGTGTCTTTGCGTGGAATTCACCGAGATTAACATAGCATATCCCAAAGACAGCTACCCCTTGCAGCGTATCGACATCCTCATTAATGCTACAGCTGATCATGAGTTGCTTAGTTTCTTGGATGACTATTCTAGATATAACCAAATTAGCATGTATCCCCCAGACCAGGAGAAGACATCTTTTATCACTCCTAAAAGGACCTACTATTACAAGGTCATTCCCTTTGGGCTAAAAAATGTAGGAGCAACATACTAGCAACGAGTAAATTCCAGTCATAGATCAAGAGAATTATGGAGGTATATATTGACGACATGTTAGTAAAGAGGGGAATTGAGAAATGCACCTTCAACTTAACTTCAGGAAAATTATTGGGCTTTATGGTCAATAAGAGGGGAATTGAGGCAAATCCAGACAAAATCAAGGTCATTATGGACATGAGGTCCCCCTCCACTGTAAAGGAGGTCCAACATCTTAACAGAAGAGTTATAGCTCTCAATAGATTCATCTCTAAGTCTGCTAATAAATGTCTACCCTTCTTCAGAATCCCCTGAAAGGCTTTTAAGTGGGGACCAGATGTGGAAGAATTTTTCCAAAAACTAAAAGCCTATCTTGCCATACCCCCTGCTCTCCCACTCCATACCCGAAGAGACCTTGTACATGTACCTGGCTGTCTCGCCATCTGCCATAAGCTTAGTCCTTGTCAAGGAGAATGAAGTAAAACAAAGGCCCATCTACTATGTGAGTAGGGCTTCTCAAGGAGAAAAGAAAAGATACTCAAGAGTCCTGACAGCCAGATGAATTTGACACTATTTTTAGAACCATACCATCATGATCGTCACGAATCAACCACTAAAAAGAATACTAGGAAAGCTAGATGTATCTGGAAGGCTCCTCACATGGGTGGTCAAGTTAGGCAATTTTGACGTGCAATACCAACTAGAAGTGGCCATCAAGGCATAGACGTTAACAAATTTTTTGGTTGAGCTCACACCATCTAAGGAAAGAGGCAATGGAGAAGAACTAGCACCCATGGCCAGTGCTCTAGCACTTGCCTACTTCTGGGCCAGCTCGGCAAGTGCCTCGCTTAGCTTCCATAGTGCCTTGGCCTTGGTGCCCAGCTTCCCAGAAGCCTCTAGCCTTGACACCTTACTCCCTAGGTGCCTTGGCCTTGGAGCCTTACTCCCTAGGAGCCTCCGCCTTGGCACCCTTCTCCCTAGGCACCTCGGTATTCTCCTCCTCCACACCCCAGCACGGTGACCTGTTATCTGTCATGTGGGCCCCTCCAATTGTCGGTGCCTCTGCACCCCTTGATGCCATGTCTACATCCACACCCTGTTGGAGACTTTACATAGATAGGTACTTAACCAATGAGGGGAGTAAAAGGCCTAGTACTCATCAGCCCCAATGGCACACCCCTCAAATATGTTGTATTACTCAATTTTGCAACCTTCAACAAAGAGGCATAGTATGAGGTGCTCATCTTAGGCTTGAGACTAGAAATTGAAATGGAGACTAGTCACTTCACCATCTACAATGACTTTCAACTGGTAGCCAACCAAGTAAAGGAAGATTTCGAAGCAAGAAAATAGATAATGCGTGACTACCTAGCAATGGTGTAAACTTTACTAAAAAAGTTCCATCATTTCCAGCATGTGCCAATGGAGGATAATGTCGTAGTTGATGCACTCACCAAGTTTGCATCATCCTCAGATATCCCACCAAGCCCCACATTATGGGTCACCAATTTGAGCCAAGCAAGCTCAAAATAGATATAGAAAGCATCAATTGCACATCCACTGACGAAGACTGGATGACACCCATCCAAGCGTATCTAGAAGAGAGAAAACTCTCAAACAATCAAGTGGAAGCCAGGAAGCTAAGGCTTAGGGCATCCAAATACGTCATCCTGTAGGAGATCCTCCACAAGAGAAGTTACTCACTACTGGTACTCACTGCGAAATCACTCCAGAGGGCATTTTCTAACTTTTAAGGTAGTCAGACATGGCTACCACTAGCCTAATATGATTAGAGATATCCAGGAGTTTGTGAAGAAGAGTGACAAGTGTCAACGCTTTGTCACTATACCAAGGCAACCACCAGAATAATTGACCACCATCATAAGTCCTTGGCCATTCTAAGAGTGGGGCATCGATATCCTAGGCCCTCTGCCCATGAGCTACGGCTAGTGCAAGTTTTTGGTGGTAGCCATCGACTATTTCACAAAGTGGATGTAAGCTGAGCCCTTAACCAAGATAATAGATAAGAAGGTGAAGAACTTTATCTAGAGAAACATAGTGTGCCGCTTTGGAATAGCCTATGCCATAGTGAGTGATAATGTCAAGTAGTTCAACAACAAGCTCCTCAATGGTTTCTGTGTTGACCTCCAAATCAGGAAGCTCCACTCTAGTTCAGCCCACCCCTAGGCAAACAGACAAGTTGAAGCCACCATAAGGACCATACTATGCAATCTAAAGACTAGATTGGAAAATGCTAATTGATTCTGGGTGGAGGAGCTATTGGGATTGTTGTGGACCTATCGAACATACCAAGAAGCCCCATTGGTGAGACTCCTTTCTCCCTCACCTTTGGAATAGAAGTAATCATGTCTGTTGAGGTCAGGGTACACTCACTGAAAGTCCAGCACCACAACCCATCCACAAATGAAGAAGGCCTCTGCGTCAATCTCGACTTGATAGCGGAGGAAAAAGATATGGCCATGATCAGGAATATGGAATACAAGTGATGCATGACCAAGTTCTACAACTCGAGGGTGAAGTCTTGCTCCTTCTTACATGGGAACTTAGTGTAAAAAATTATAATTTTAATAAAAAGGGCAAAACGGTATTCGTCGTTGTAGTAGTACGGGTTGAAAACCTGAAATTTTTTAGAACTAAGATGACAAAATAGACCTCACCGTTTGATTCGTCTCGCAAAATCTAATTACCCAATAAATTTTCGTTGAAATCCAAGATTGTCAATTTTTTGTGATTTACGATGCAATTGGGCGTCATGCAACTAAAATAAACACGATTGGGTTTTAATTGCTAAACATGAAAAATAATTTAAAGTTATTTTAAATAAAATATATTGAACTTGAAATGGGATGAGATTTAATTGATACGAGACAAAATTAGATCAGAAAAAGACGGGACATGTGGCTTAATGAGAGCCAAGCATTGGAGAGTATATAAAGGGGGAAAAGTTAGATTTTCCCCCATTTGTGATGCTGTTTTTTCTAGATAGAAAGAGAGAGAGAAAGAAGAGATAGAAAAACAAAAAAATCTCAACCTTTTTTTTCTCCAATCTAGGGTGATCCATTCATCTGATTGCTTTGGGCCAAGAACAAAAATTGTTCTATGTGATTTGAGCTATGAATACGTACCAAAGATAGCAAGTTTCACCAAAATCTCAAA